TCTAATGTTGAGAGTAACTATCACTTCAAACTTTAGGGTGGTTAAAGTAGCGGCCTACTTGTGTGGATGCAGTTTGAACGAAGTATGTAGAAGTGCACTGCTCTATTCGCCAACTACTCTCAATTTGTCCCAATCAAGTACACTGAAGTCGCTTCAATTGGGTCACATATGTGGATTCGATTGTTGTCGACATTTGGCGTGGTCAAGTTGTTCAGGCTTTGATTTGTTGTAAGTTTGGTAAAATATTAGGGAAGACAATCCTTACACCACAATATGGTTAGCCTAAACGCATTCATTATTAAATATCAACAAAGTGGTTTTATAACTGTATGTTTTTAATTCAAATAAGAGTATTCTAATTTCGAGGGTCTATTTATTTTTTGATAGTTTGAACAGACGATAGATTTTATGCTCATAACTTTAAGTCGTTATAACGATTTCCTGGCCCCATTTCATAATGAATTAAAGCCTTATTTACAATTTTTTATATAGGTATGTTTATATCTCATTGGTTCGCTTTGCTTTTTAATTAAGATTGTATATTTGTAAATATCATTTCTAATTCTCCGCAAATTGGAGGTCAAGTTAATTGTTAAACATAGTGTCTTCTCCTTTTTTCTGTCAATGGAAACTAAAACCAATCAGTAAATGACCACGTTGCGTCGAAGATTCAACTTAATGTTTGGTATCTAAACCTATACTGATATACTTGTCCTCGAAATAATTCTCCAGGTTAGGCAATTCACTGAAACTTGGTCTTATGCCAACTGGGAAAGATTATTTCAAAATAGCAGATGCCCTGCCTGTTTGTGCATACTTTCTGCGTATCCTTTATCTATAGTGTATGAAAGTCGATTAACTTAAGGTATACATTGCGTATTAAATTAGAATATAGAAATGTTCTTACCGTTCTTTAAATGGTGTTTTATCAAACGCACTTGCGGGTGGATATCTCAGCTCATTTAAATTTACTGCCTGAAAAACAAGTACTTATTCAAATGTCATCTGCTTTACAACAATCATGTATTTTCTCTGGTCTATGACTAATCAATCAGTTGAATTATCAGGCCAATCATCTCTAAATGCTACAAATATGAACACATATGTAAAGCATGGAGATGAAAATTTAACACTCATTCATTATGTCACTGCAATAAGAATGTTGACCCCATTTGAGAGTGAATTTAAAAGAGACAAACTCTTGCTGGCACGCTATGCTTCACTTCTACGCTCTCCCTCTATAAAAAACGCCTTCCTTGACATGTTTAAATTTACCGATTTTTTGCTCACTTGTAAATATGTGATTTGGTGGTTGTTTAATTGAATTGGAATAGTTGATGAAATACCTGAAAAGTCAGTTATTTTACTTGTGGACTACCACTTATTCTCCTTTTATTTAGCGCAGTTTCACTCAATTACTCAGTATACGTACTCATTCATGGTTAGCCCATACCAAGATCATGTTTCTGAAATCAAATTCGAAGCTCGGTTTACAGCCTCTTGCCTTGGCGAAGAAGTGGTGATGGTCTTTATCGTTTTGCCATCTTATTAAATTAAAACACATTTAAATTTGTGTCTTCCGAAAAATATACATGCTTAGTTGCTCTCCAATGTTCAAAGTGTTGTTGACAAATTGATCATTTTTTCCCTGGGATCAATACAGACGTTCCAGGCATCAGTGGGAGATGCTAATCATGGTATGACACAAGCTTATAAAATCGCTTTTACTATCACCCCTCCCCTTAGCTCCTTAACAACCATATACCTGTTCTTACCTATTCATCTGCATTTTCGATCGTTACTGGCAATTCTACCTGATTTTGCTTGCCCTAAAACTTTTACTGCTTTCTGACAATATTACACTTTTATGCTCTGATTATCAGGTCACCTAGGTTAGTATCAACTATTCGACCCACATATTTTTCACATCCGATTCCAGTCAATCATCCAACAAGCAACCTCCAACAATTAGGTCACCCAGACAATTAGAATCAACACCGGTTGACTCAGCTGCGTTTGCTATCTTCACCTAACCAATGCTCTCATTTCGAAACCTAGACAAAAATTTCTTCCCATTTTTTCTATATTTAAGATTCGTCATCAATAACATTTGGTCCACTTCATTTTTACGTCATACGATTACTTCAATTTCAACTCTTAACTCACTCAAATGCACATAACGAATGTCCATTTATTCAACTAGCATTCATAAATTATTTGGCTTTCAATTCTGATAAGCCTGTTTATATGAAAAACAAACTTGTAAAAATACCAAATTTTATTAGCTGTCAAAAATGCGAAAATATTTTTTCAGCACTATTAATATGACCAATTATTTCAACCTCTCGTTGTGCTAGATCTTGACTCTGTAAACCACACGCTCTTTGAAAGAAATGTTGAGCTTTAAATTAGATTCAATGCATAAAAAGCAAAAATATTTTATCACAAAATTTACTCACTTCCAGGATAGTCACTCGTTGCACAAATACATCCACACCTCAAATAAGGACAACAAATATTTTCCACAGTTGGTTTTGGACATATGGCGGTGGCGGTGGCGGTGGCGGGGGTGGTGGTGGTGATGCATTTGGTTGCACAATCCTTCTTCTTTGATTTATTTTTCTTCTTTTTCTTGTGCATTTTGTGTTTCTTTTTTTTACTGCAATCATCATTGAGTGTCCAAGTTTCCGCCCTCCAACCAGAGCAATCTCCGACTGGAACTAAAAAAAAACATTCCACAAGTTTATCTATTGTAATCGGATTAGACACTAGGAGAATAGGAAGCGCAAAGGGAAGGGAATCGGATGTAAAGCCAAGGGGATTTGGAGAGTCTCAGTAAATTTGACCTTTTGAATACATTTGTCAGATACCATTTGTGTTTCCCCAACCAAATTTTTTTGCATTTACTCTGCCAAAGTGTGCAATTTAAACTATATTCACAGGAATGAATGCTTCAACGAGTCCATTTCTATTAGCGAGATGTTTGGCCTATGTTGAATGTGTAGTTCCTTTCTTTATCAGTACATTAAGACTTGTTGAAGTACTTAGGAATAAGGGCACTGACAACTTGGTGGCTCCGTGAGGCGATCGTCTAGTCGTCCAATTTTGCGATTGGTAGCGTAAAGCAAAGAAAATCCCAGTCAGCAGTAAGAAGTGCTAATCATGTGACATTCTGTATATTCCTGTTCCAATGTTCTGCAATAATCAAATTTCAGAATTTTCGGATCGCTTTTGGGAGAATCCATATTAAAGTAGTCCACAGCATGCTAATCTTCAATTTTATTTAGATGACTTTAAATATTACTTCAAGAATTGTTTAGAAATTGCCAAGGCATTGTCTGAATTATTTCAAATTCCACAACTTTAAAGTATTACTAAAGGCATAAAATTTTGCAGTTTGAGCACAAAAAATTTACGGTCAACTTTTTCCTTGCGTTTGAATCTTTCGCAATCCTTGATGCGTGTTAATATCACTTTCTTGCATGCATCGCATATCTTTTCACAGCCTACAAATAACCGCAAATTTCATTTAACCATGTAAATATATATATATATATGTATGTATGTATAAATTAGTCGAAGATAATATTCTTGCATTTCACAGGTTTGCAGTCGTGATGGCAGATAGTTTTTCCCTTTCTCAATAAACTGCATTTCTCTTGTATACCTAGCAGAAATCGCGTTCAACGTGTTAGGTTGTTCACAAATTTAATCAGGTACTTACCATGTTCTGGCGCCTTGTACTTCACTAGTTTACAGTCGACTGGTCCTCTAATATTTCCACCTTTCTGAGCATTACATATCTCACGACGACCTTGAAACAATAAAAAAAGGAACATGTCTAGGTTGACGGTCCAAATTAGTTATATTTGTAAATTTCTTACCAGAGTTGAATCTGACAGAATTTATCTGTTTGCAAGAGGCGAAATTCTCTTTTTGCCACGCTGCATTATAGTTCTCTCGGAAATCTTCAAGAAAATTATTTAAAGGCACGAAAAGGTTAATTTTAAGCAAGAAGTTGGCCAAATATTTACCCTTGGTAACTTCTCTACACTCCGTTTTTTTACAGCCAACTGAATTTGAGCATCTCACTTGTTCACATATCGCCCGTTGACCTTAAAATATTTTTTAATGAAACATTATGAGCGTTGACTCACTATAAATAAATTGTGCAAATCAGGAGTTTTATATGAACATAAATGTAGAGACGATAAAATCAGACTATCGAATATCCGATAAAATTATATGATCAACACATTCTGCAAATAATGGGCATTTGACTACCCCGAAACCCATGGATCAAATTATGAAAACCGAGCTTTAGGGTATTTTTTCTATTGCAAAGCAAACTATAGCAACTATTCAAATGACACTTCAACTTTCGTCACGTTTTCCAACATGATCGAGTTTTATCCCATATTGGAATATTTGCTCTTTCCATTATTTAAATATTTATATAATGTTTTTATAAATATAGCTTGAAAAAAATGAAATATTAGTAAATTGGCAATTTACTATTAACAACTTCCTTGTCCCTCATTTGAGTCAAATTGCAAGGGGAAGCACATCTCACGTCCCTGAATGTTTCAACTCTCGTCTGCCGCCCTGAAATGGGATATAATCGATAGTTTACAGAATATATACCACAAAAAATATATTTACCATCATCGATTTTAACCCATCCACAGGATACAAACTTTGGATCTACCAACAGTCCTCTAACGAAATAGCAAAACATTTGTTTTTATTTTCTTGCACATTAACAATTTAAATATTACATATGAATTTGGGGAATTTAGGCATTGGACCATTCAAAGCACTCACACTTTTTTGCGCCAAAATTTAAGTGCACATTTTAAATTGAATATTGTGCTGACTGCATGCTTCTACCTAATTAAAGTCCTTCACTCTCTTGCTACTAACCATAAATTAATTAATTATCTGCAGAATGCCAACATATCCATCAAGGTACTATTTCCGCGAAATAGAATTTTACTATATATATATATATATATATATATATATATGTATATATATATATATATATATTATTGGGATCTGTCGGTAAAAAAAAAAAAATAATATCACACAAATTCGTCTTTGGGTGGTCTTTCCAACAGGAAGTGACTAGAATTATCAAGTAGCTCACAGGACGTACGTGATACCATCTCTGGTTCCTATATGTAGTTATCTAAAATTTGCGTATATAAAGTTCTAAGCCCAGGGGTGTGCGATAGACTTACCTCCACGCGGAGCACCCTGG